GTTTAACACAAGTTTGGCTAAAGCGGTAACTGCAAAGTTTAATACACAGTTGTGTGTTAAATTAAACCTGGCTGCTCTGTCAAAACAAGCACAAGGCTACCTGACCCGCCACTAAACGTCTGCTAAACCAGATGTACTTCAGATGTACCGTCAAACTATGTCAACATTATATAACACACACACACACACACACACACACACACACACACACACATATATATATATTGTGGGCGGAAAGTCTGGTTCCATTGACTTACATTAAAAATAAAGTAGCAGCGATATGTTATTTTTATGACCAGGGCCTGATTATAAGTTTCAAATGAAACACGTGAAACGTCTTTTACAAGCTTTAAATGTCAATGTTTAATCTAGAAAGTCCAAAACATGTTCATGGGCACCGCTGTTAGCTTGGCTACCAGAGCAGTTTCTGTCACAGAGGTGTGTTTTTTTCTTGTTTTTTGATATTTATGGTTTGCCACTGTCTCTGAGTGTGATTATGCATATTACAAAAAAAGTACATACATGTTTCTGGACACTGGGGTCCTGGAACAACATCCTACCTGGAGGACCCCCCTTCTGACCCGTCATATTATTTAATGTGCAAGATGTAAAAATAATGTATACTATATTTTTGTTGATTGGGAGAAAAGGCTAACAAACGCAAAGGTAAAGACACACAAATAAAATTTAAAAATAAATAAATAAACAGGTGAATAAATACTCACTGGAATGCCTGGTGGCTCAGGGGCCCCAAGTGATTATATAAGCGGTTATATCACAGAAAAAAAACATGCAAATGTATAAATACAGTATCCATTCTATTCATACAAGAGCTTTCCATTATTTTACAATTTTCTACATTTTAGAATAACAGTGAAAACTTAAAATATGAATTAACACATGGAACAGTTCAGTATTCCCCTAAAAAAAATATCCTGCAGATTTCTTTGAAAAACTGAAAGCAAGTCACCTGAAAAGAATGGAAGAAAAACAGTGGACACACTACATACTGAGAAAATTATTATTATATGTAGTTGTTGAGTCTTCTGTATGATTTTCTGTTAGATATATGTTTTCTATTTTTTTACCCAGTACTGAAAAGTAAATATCTTGTACTGAATGTCTGGAAGTGGAAATTCAATAAATGATTGGTGGTCTCTGGTTTTTGTAACGTACTGTATGATTATGAACAGTGGGTTTGCACTTAAACTGCACTCCTACTGTGAGACTACACAGCATGGGGGCCTAAACGGCCTGTCACTCCTGCAGTAGTGTGGTGCCATCTAGTGTTCATAAGGGATTACTGTGTCTAAGGCTGTATTAATGCTCAGGGTTAGCAGGGCTCAAGTACTGGATGCTGGATATATATTCAGCCCGGCTTAAACGAGCTGCAAAACAGCCTGTTATTGAAAACCCATACATTCACACATCCACCTTATTTATTATTTGGCCTCTGTATTTAAAGATAGGTCTAGGAAATCCAGCTGATGACTGTTTTTAGCAAAGCTGAAGAAGGTGTGCCAGTCTGTGCTTCCTATAAAATGTTTCTGAGAATTTGTCTGAGAAATAAGGTGGATATGCAAATGCACTGGTTTGTGTAACATCACAAAAACAATTATTTCATAATTCGCTGATTGTGTGGATTTGGGTGGGATTGGCACATTTCAATCAAACTTTAATAAAGTTTGCATACTACAAACCTCAATTCCAAAAAAGTTGATACAGTATATAAAATGCTGATAAAAACAGAAAGCAGTGATTAGTAAATTCTATTTGACCTGCACTGAATTGAAAAAAGAACATGGTATGTATATACATTCCAAATTTGATCCCTGCAACCCTTTCCAAAAAAAGTTAAGACAGGAATAAGTTTGCTAGTGTGTTACACCACCTTTCCTTTTAACAGAAATCATTTGGGGACTGCAATTTGATGTCTGGACTGCAAGCAGGCCAGTCTAGCACCCACACTGTCTGATTACACAGCCATGCTGCTGTATTGTGCAGAAAGTGAGTTGGCATTGAAAATAAGTGTGGATGCCCCTGAAAAAGAGGTTGTCTAAAAGGGAGCATGTGTGTATATATCTATATCTTACTATATATAGTATACCCATACTATACATTGGCTTTTGAACTTTACACTGGTAACAATCTGGATGGTCCTTTTCGTCATAGAACATTCATTATTTCCGTAATAAACAGTCAGAAAGGTTGACTCATCAGACACTGAGCATCAATTTCAGATGAGCTTAAGCTTAGAGAATCCAGTGGTCTGGATGTTGTTGACGTATGGCTTCTGCTGTGCTGGTCTTAACCTGCATGTGTAGAAGCAGCAACAAACAGTGTTTATTGATGACAGCTTCTCAAAGTATTCTTGAACCTGTGCAGTCATTTCCTTCAAAGAACCATGCTGGTTTTCAATGCAGTGCACTCTGAGAGGTTGAAGGTCACAGGAATTCAGTTATGGTTTTTGACCTTGCCTTTTGACCTCGTCTCTACACCAGTGACTGTGTCTCTAAGGAACCAGCTTTGAAGATCCTGAAGTTTGCAGATGACACCACTGCGATGGGCCTCAAAGCCAACGCGGATGAGTCTTCACCTACAATCACCTGCTGCTTAACACACAGAAGACATTTAAAACTAGACCTTTCCTGAACACTCCATGATTACGTTCACCTGTCTTAGAGTGTTGTTCCCTAGTTTGGAACGTGCTGCAGGCATCAATTTCAAAATTAGTGTCATTTTACAGAAACGTTTGATGAGGAAAACCAATAAATTTCTTGTTTTTGTGTTGTTTTTGTTTACAAACAGGACACAGTGGATTTACAAACCACTGCTTTTCTCACTGCTTTTTGCAAATTGAGGTTGTACACTGTTACAAATAAAGGTGCTGTTCAGGTACATTTTTCATTCATCAAGGTACAATGTGAATGTTCCCTCAAAGGTACAACAGTGGTTTTAAGATCCAATTGTGCACCTTAAATAAGTTTTTTCAGGTGAAAAGTACATATTTTTATCTTTTCATAAACTAATGTTTTAAAACAGAACAGTAAAATAAAAGCCTGGAGACGAGACGGGGTGTGTGGAGTCAATACAACTCAGAAAATATAATTTCATTGGATTATGGTACAATTATGTACCCTGACTAAAGGTACTGAGATGTACCCTTGAGGGTACCACCCCAGTGATGAGAGGGGTACTGCCCCAGTGACAGTGTCATAACTTGTTTTCTGAGAGTGTAAATTAAACTCTTTTGTTTCAAAAATGAAAGAAAAAATAAACTTATTCAGAATATAGGTCCTTTTGAAAGATCACAATGTAGCACCAAGAAGGCCCAAGATTTATAGCCATAGGGGCTTTATGTAACCCTGGCTGAGCCCACTTTTTTCTGGCGGTCCTGTAGACAGAATTCCAGTGTGGGCTATGCCATCACACTGATACACAGAACGCTGAAACCTTTTGAGGAGTCCATCATCTCTAGTTTCTACAATAACAGGCTATGCTTTATTTCCAGATGTTATTGCAGAAATCTTGACAGCTGTCAGGACTTCTACGCATTTTTCTAATAAGCCACATTGTTGTGTTCCAAAATACGCTCCAAGAAACAAATCACAGCCTGGTTGTAAGCCATTCAGGCTGTACAGCAGCGCAGTAAGAGGGGGCAGTGTGGTGCCCTGGTGCCCACTATTGACTGGCAGCTTCGTGAGTGAGAGGCTACGTGTTCTGGCCCAGCTGGGTTTGTGGGGTTTATGGGCTTCGTTTATTGTTTTTGTGCATTCACTCTTCACTCGGGTGGGATGATTAAATAAAATGCACGTGTTTTCCCAGCTCTCTCTGGCATCGGCTGCCACCTCAGCGGTCCTTTTTGCCCTGCTGGTACTCTGTGGAAACTTGTTGGCAAATCCCCCTGAATCATCAACACGGATCAGGGTGCTTTTGTCGCAGGCTTTAGCCGTGCTCATTGACAAACACCTGCTCTGTGTATACACACACACACACAGAGTGCAGCCACCCCAAATAACCTCCACGTCACACACATCATGCCACACTGATGTTTGTAATCATCAAGTTGTTTCGTGAGAGAGTGCACCCGGTTCTGTGAGGCCTATACAGTGTTTACAGTAGGCAGTGGTCAATGGGCAATAAGAGTCAGCTGGTGATGATCAGGGCTGAGCATGGGCCAAACCTGGCCTACTAAAGTCTACCATCTACTTTTACAGTGATTTGAGTTGTACACATGCAGAATTTCCAGAATAATACTTATTTCTTATTTTGTGGGTGTTGTTTTTGCCACTTAGCCTGACTCAGTATGCCTCAAACTTTGGTCCTCTACAGCTGGATTTTTTATATTTCCTTTACTACAGCAGTTCTCAGAGCTTCACTGAGCACAAATCTAAAAAGAATGCAAATTGCATGAAGTGTTGTCATCTCAATCCAAACACTGAATTTTACTAATATAAAAATAATGGAGAGGTATTAAATGATATCATAGTTCTGAATGTTTGTCTTCTACTGCTTTTGTCACTGACATTGAAGCTGTAGTGGTTATTCATGGATTAGTATGATGATTTAGCATGTCATATCCTATTATTTGCTCTAATTTAATGAGAGATAATGGCCAACATTTGTCAGTGTCGCACTGTGTTTCTAAAAAAGCTTGGGAAAAGAAAGAAAGAAAACAGCCAGATTGTGGACTCATTAGGCTATTTCAACTATGTTATGTATGTATGACATGGTGGTCTTTCAAAACAAATCTAATGATTGAAGGCCTAGTGACCTGAGTGACCCTACAGTCAGTGCACATTATGTATTTGTATGTTGCCTTATTTTCAGCAGTTGTGTTGCTGTAATGTATTGTATCATTGAACCAAGCCAATTCAGTGGATCACTTCATTTAGAAAGGGAGGAAAATGGCAAAGAAAGAGATTAGGATTGTGCTGGAGCTCACACGCTCTGGTTGGTTTTATTTTTCTTTAGCATTAGCAGGAGCACCATAATGAGGTTCAGTACACCTGCACACGGCGGAGGGAGCCCACAGTGGGATGCATGGCGCCCCACTCGCTAAAGCGGCGGTACTCGCCCCTCTCCAACAGGTACTGGCGTCCCCTGTAGTTGGCCTGCTCGAAGAAGACCCAGGCGCCGTCCAGCACCTTGCAAGAGTGGATCTCGTGGAAGCGGAAGCGGTCGAACAGGGACGGGCTGTCGTCGCTGAACTCCATCATCTGGCCCATGTAGTCAGGGCGCTCATAAACGCGAATGCGGTGTGCTCCGGATGTCTGGGGGACAGGAGAGAGCACCCAGACAGAGGTCAGTGTATTTGGAGCATGAGTTCTGAAAAATAATGCTTTAATTGACAATGCAGTTTTGTGTTATCACTATCTAAAGCTTTAAAACCTCAATGGACCCACACTTGCATCCCTCAAGCTCATACCAACATAACAGTCTTATGCAAAGGTTTGGGTGCCCCTGGTCAGACCCCTGGTCAGATCACATTTTGTTGACTTTTTAAGTAAAAAATAAGTACACATCTTCAGTGAGAACTTTTCTCCAATGATTCACAATTAACTGTTTGCTTAATGTCCACAATTTATATTTATCCAATGTGTTAAACACAACAAATTAATAGAAGTTGTGCTGAAAAATGCTATATATAAGTTGCTTGTAAAGAACTGGTTAACTTACCTTCAACAAGACGTGCAATTTCACCAGGGGTGTTCGAACCTTTGCATACGACTATACTTACTGAATGACTTATTCAGTAGTATGTTTTATAGGAATACTCCAGCATTTTTCAACCTAATCTTTATCTACCACGTCTGTAGCATATAGTCGATTGCCTTGAACATTCATTTTCCAGCACTAAGAAATGAACATAAAAACAACTGACTCGAAACAGACTAATCATAGAATTCAGTGGGCAGGTGCTTTGGCTTCTACTATACATCTGTGAGTCAGTGAGTTTTCTGTGCTTTCCCAGGTACAGAAAAATGCATCAAAATTGTTATAATAGGATAACAGGATGTGTTGCTTTTAACAGCTCTGTTTGGAAAGTGTAGGGGCAATATGGCAGAATATGGATCATTGTTCTATCCAGGTCAGCGTTTCTAAACTCAGTCTTTGGACCACCACACAGTGCACATTTTTGCTCTGCTTTAGCTCCCACACATCAGAACTGAGCGAACAAAACAGCAAGAAAAACAGGGTTGCTGAGAGGTTGGATGGCTGAGGGTCCCCAAGGACTGGATTGGGAAACACTGGCCTATGTGCTGGAAGACTCCTATACTGTGAGGGAAAACACAAAACTACACTGTGTTACGCATGATCCATTAATCGAATTGATTCAAATGTGTTCATCATTTCAACATAAATTTTATTTTTAATTATTTATTTTGTTACATATCTGACTATTTTATCTTTATCTTATTTTTGGTGTATACATATATATATATATATATATATATATATATATATATATATATATATATATATATATATATATATATATACATATATATATAGCTGTTGTCAGAAAAAAACCTCGTATCTCCAAAATGCTAACTTTACAGGAGAAGGAAAAAACCTACTTTACTTTTAATGTAAGTCAATGGAACCAGATGCATTTGATCCAAGTCATTTTGGACCATTTGTTTTGGTCCATTCATCATGAAATTTACACACAATGTAAAGGGTAACAGGCATTTTCAAATAACGTCAAAAACTGAAAAACGACAAAAATGGAGATACGAGGTTTTCTTCCGACAGCAGCGATAGATAGATAGATAGATAGATAGATAGATAGATAGATAGATAGATAGATAGATAGATATAATTGTGCCATTTATATATATTTTTTTATATATAAATACATTTATATATATTTTTATATACAATTTTATATATACTTTAATATATACATATTTTTTAGGATTTTACTATTTTTGTAGTGCTTTTCAATAATGCAAAGATGTACTATAAAGTAACATAACAACATTAAAAGAAAAACATTAACATAATAATACCAATAACATAAAATTTTAAAAACAGTAAAAAGTTTTGTCCACTTAACTACAGTGAAGCACCTTATCTGGTGCAATAATATTAAAGCAACAATGATAAATACCCTATATACTACTCTTTATAGTGCCATAGTTAGACGATTAGGGTCTTTCTCTCTCTTTCACTTGCTTTGTGCCTTTAATTGTCACATATACATATATTATAATATATTTGCAATATATAAGGTTTTTGTATAGTTCACACTTACGTGACGGATGATGCGGCAGGAGCGCACAGTGTCGTTGTAGCCGTTCCAGCTCTGGTACTCGGGGTACTCTCCTCTGGTCAGGATGTACTGAGAGCCCAGGTAGTTGGGTCTCTCGTACAGCACCCAGGCTCCGCTCTCCACACGGATGGAGTTGCAGCGGCTGAAGTGGGAGCTCAACTCGGGACAGTCGCTGCTGCACTCAAAGCAGCGGCCCTGGAAGTTCCTGTCCTCGTAGAAAACGATCTGTGGAGAAACAGCAGAGGGTCATCATATTAATCAATACACTTAACATTCCTTAAGGTCAAAGATGAGCACTTTGAATCAGGAATCACTAAAAAACTTGGAATTTACTTGATTCAAATGTTTTCAATCTACATAATAATTGCCAAAAGACGGCCTAAGTAAACTGAAAGATAAAGCTGCAAAATTCTGAGCTAAGCAAAGTTAATGCATCACTTTTTTCAGTGCATCCACTCACTGTCAACAATAACACCACAAGTCCCTAAAAGTCAACAATGTGACCTTCCTAGTTCATAGAAAACTGAATCAGCTTTGGAAAAAATGCCCTGTGGTTGAAGTTTAAAATTATTATGAATGTTAAAGTCACCACTGGACAGAAAGTGATCTTTTCCACTAGCGTTAAAAGTACTAATGGAATTTTTAAGTTTTAAAGTCAGGCTATAGTCCAGATTAGACGATTTCACATAATAGGATCTTATTAGATAAACAAACACATTTTGTCACATACCTTTCCAACACGTTCCATGACTGGGTCTTTTTGTTGTTTGGTCTCTTAAATGTAACAAAATAAAATGTTAAAAATTCTCTCTGTCACATAAAGCCCTGGTGAGGCCGGCAAAGTGTGAGATTTATATATGTAGGACATTGAAATGCATTGCCAGTAAAATCATTGTCATTTAAATGAGCCACCATTAACATTCTCACAATAGCTGATGCTGCGTTTGTTTTAAAGTACATGGCTTTATGCGATGTTTAATGCCCATTGTATAGACGCTGACCTTCTGATCTCACTGTGCTCGATTCCAGAAAAGATTTATTTATCCGATTAAATTGCTTCCAGCGCGTGCTGGCTCTCGCTGAGTGATACCCTGCCGCTGCGGACAGCACTGCTGAACTGTATGGATTTGGCATTTTCATCACAAGGTGCTTTTATAATGTACAAACAGAGCAACAGAGATTGCAGGAAAAAGCAAGGCCTGTTCATGTCCTCAGATTGTCTGCATGAAGGCATGGTGCATGTCCTCCAGCCCACATATTTCCCAATCTTTGTCCCTTTACAGCTGCACAGATTTGCCACAATATATTACAGGGTGCATTTGAAATGCATGAACAGAGCTTTATAGACTGCAGCAGAAAATAAGAGAGGTGTTTCATGTAGTAGTCTTCAGGTTGTCTGAATTGGAGCCACTATTTAATGCCTGTCCTGCAGCAACATTTAGGTTTCATTTGGGTGGAAGTACTTCAGAAGTATATTAGTCCCTTTATATTGCACTGTAATAGCACTTGCATAAAGTAGCATTGCTGTGAATTCATATACAAACCTCTATTCCAAAAAAGTTGGGCTAATATGGGAAATGCATAAGAAACCAAAAGCGCTGACCACTCTGAACTGTTTCTAAACATAAATAGTAATAATATTTAATGTTTTGCTTCATTGTATTTTGTACATCTATGCTCATTTTGAAATTAACACGTGCCAAATATGTTGGGACAATAGCAATTTAAGACTCGGAACATTGTGAAATGTTCAAAAAAATGTCTTAAACAGGTGATGCAGTCATGCTTGCATATAAACAGAGCATCAAGGGAAGGCCTAGTCCTTAATGAGCAAGGATGTGTCGTGGGTCAGCAAATACTGCAACAGTTCACAAATAATTTCACCCTCTACAGTGCATAATATCATCTAAAGATTCAGGAAATCCAGCTAAACCTCTGTGTGTAAAGAGCAAGGCCAAAAACCACAACTGAATGCTGATCCCTCAGATGACACTGCTTTAAAAGACGATATATATCACCACATTGGCTCGGGATTACTTTGACAAATGGTTGTCAATAAACACTGTTTGTCGCTCCATCCTCAAATGCAGTTAGGACTGTACTATGCACAACAGAAATCATTTGTACAGAAACACCACCAACTTCTCTGGGCTCAGGCTTAGCTGAAGTGGACAGACATATGGTGGAAAGGTTTGTTGTGATCAAAAGAGTCAACCATTCAGATATTTTATGGAAGAATAGATGTTAGGGGAAAGAAGAAACAGGCCATCCAGATTGTTACTAGTGGAAAGGTTAAAAGCCAGTGTCTGTCATGGTAACTTGCACATCTGTGAAGGCACCATTAACGCTAAAAGATATATAGAGAATTTGGGGGCAACGTAGGCTGCCTTCTAGACAAGATCTTTTTCAGGAACATCCAGGTCTTACTGGAACGTCCATATTTCAACATGACAGTGCCAAGCCATGTTCTGCACAGGTTACAACAGCGTGGCTGTGCAATCAGAGAGCGCAAGCGCTAGTCTGCCCTGCATGCAGTCCAGACCTGTCTCAATTCAAAAATACATTGTGCATTATAAGCTGAAGACTTGTGTAATGAAAGAATTGAAATTACACAATAGAAATTATGCTTTTAAAACTGGATCCGTTGGTGTCTTCAGTTCTCAAATAAATATTACAGTGCTGTTTAAAAGAAAGGTGTTGTAACACAGTGGTAAATATAATCCTGTCCCAACTTTTTGAAAAATCTTGCAGGTACATTTGAAATCTATTTGCAAAAAATAAATAAATAAATAAAAAATACATTTGAAAAAACAATAAAGTTCATGTGGTAATATTACTTTATGTTGCAGTGCTGCTTGTGGTTAAACTAAGGGGAGATGCAATGTAATTTGGAAATTGAAAAGAAAAACAAGCTGGTAAATCATATTTACTGTGGAGATTATAGATTAGTTCATGCTAATCTTTGCTTTTCTTTCATAAATTAATATACCTTTACTTACAAACAGAAAATCAGTGGACTCCAAACACAGTTATAATGGAGACCAATGGGCTTCAGCACCTGCCCATTGGCTTCTATTACAAGTGTGCTTTACATCAGTAGTTTTCTGTTCATTTATCAATTACAGGGAAACGAAATCAAAATTGCTTTATATGATAGTGACTGTGTGCTACAAATGCAGCAGATAAAGATTAGGTTTAAAAACACCAGATGACTCCTTTAACATTTAATAGCAAAACAGTATATTCTGGGATTCGTCGTCATGCAGAAAATCAGCCAGTGGTTTATGTCCATTGTGCGATTGTTGGCTGGCTGCTAACTGCTGATGATAGCTTCAATGCCAGCAAAATGTTGCTTCTATTTGAGAAATAAGTAATAATTCACTCTCTCCGCCAAACTCTTGGGAAATTGGGCAGGTTTTTACAAATATGTAATGGCACATCGTGAAGTTTTTAGTAGATTTCCCAGCCATAGTTACAGTTGCTAAGCTATGAAAGACCAACTAAGTGAACCAATTTGCCACAGCACCACCCTGAGGCAGACCAGTGCTGCATCTCTGGTTAGTTAAGAATACCACAGACAGAAGTTCACTGACTGTGAGTGAAGCAGATAAACAATGAGCTTTCCCTGAATTTCTGTTTGAGTGTCTATTTTTCTTTAATGGACAGCATAGCATCATAATAAGTTCATTTTCAGGGACCCCTTGAATTTTGATTTTGAGACATTCAGGGACTCCAAGAGGTTGATTAGTAAGTCCCGGACATGTTTGTGACACGGACATGTTCCTGAGCAAATGCAGTGATTTCCACTACAGTACTGTCTAATTTCGTTTTATATGTCTATTTTTATTTTTTAAGTCTGTTTTTAATTTTTCCAGACTTTTGTTGCCCCTGTATCAGTTTTTTTGAAACGTGTTGCATCAAATTCAAAATGGGCATATGGGTCATTCTTAGAAGCATCTACTTTTCTATCTATCCATAGGAGTCACTGGTGTTACCAAACCAGAGACATTTTTAATGAAAAATGCATTTTACAAAATGGCTGCTACAGAGCATCAAACTACATGTTGTAAATCATGGAAAATCCACTAAAATATGTATTTTAATCCATTTGTTTTATATTTTTTCACAATTACCCAAGAATAAAGTCGGTCACACCAGTGACTTCAACTAAAAGCTTCATATGAAATCATGAGCTAAATGAGAACATTTCTGATAACTGAAAGATACAGTGGACTCACCATGAGCTTTTCTTCATAGATCCTCAGCAAACAGGTAAAAGGAAGTCAAGCGATGTCATCAGTTTGTTTTTCATTTTCAAAATAAGAGATTTTTTGCTACGCAGTAACACCAGTGACACGACTCCTGGGGACCACAACTTTTATTTTATATTTTATAATATTTACTTGCCATTTGTTTACTTTGTCATTTAATTCATATAGTTCATAGTCATGTATAGATTATTGCAGTTAAAATAGGAGAAAAAAATGTTTTTTACCTCAAAATATGGCCTCACCCTTTACACATGACTGTGGGGACGAGCTCTTCTGTGGTGCTTGAAATTCTAGATCATTGATTTAAAAACCAATATTGATTAAATTGAGGCTCAATAAGGTGTAATTGTTAAAATAACACTGTTTTATTTTAAAATATAAATAAATTGTAACCCTATCATGTTGTTCAAGTGTAATATATCTGTAAACGCTAGGGACACAACAATGGACGTTTCTGTAGAATGACCCATATATTAAAACATCCTAGTTTCAACACTTGATATGTTGTCTTTTTATTATTTTTAATTACATCCTGGGATTAAATGATTTGCACATCATTGCATTCTGTATTGACATTTTGCACAGTGGCCCAACTTTTCCGGGAACAGGATTGTAGTTATATAATTGTGTAAATGTTGTAGCTATATATACTTGCCTTGTAGCTCCAGTGCAAAACTAAAGAAGCAAACTTCAGACACCGAACATGGCTGACTGAGTACATTTGAGATATTTTTCCTTACTCTGATTGAGACTTAGTGAATTTCCAAAGGCTTTAAGATTTTAATCAGACTAGAGCTCTGGAGAACCGTACTGTGTATCTCCAACATCTACAAAATGTTGGCCCACTGTAGAAGAGCAAAGCTAGCTCAACAGTGTTCAGAGGCTAACACACTGAAAGGTCAACTTGTGAGTCCATAATGGTCAGAGTACCTGTTATGAGGGTGTGATCTACTCCGACTCAAATCTGACACCACTCATCTTCATAGAATCTCAATATTAGAAAAAAGCTCTGAACCAATTTATAGTTACCTTCTTCCTAAGTTCCTTAATGCAACTGCTAAATGCCTGTAAAGCTGCTTGAAAGGCTCTGAGAAAAATCTGGGGCACTTGGGAAAATAGAGCTTTTAGTTTCTTTACTGAAAACAATTGTTCCCTTCAAAACCAGAGCAGAGCTATGAGAGAAATTGGGAACTGGGCACGAGGTCAGGCCAGTTTGCCCCAGGACTCTTCAACAGCTTGTTGAGGAGCCCAGACTCAGTACAACTGAACAATGATGCCAGTGTCTTGCCTGCCAAAGGCGGACACCCACTAAATTGGTGAGATCTGGACAAGCAGATGCCATCTCAGCCCAAACTAGCCACAGATATTGTGTTTTGAGATATAGTCTTGCCAGTCAGACTAGTTTTATATTTTCAGGGTCATTCTAAAGAAACGTCCATTTTTGTGTCCCTAGTGTTTACAGATATATTACACTTGAAAAACATGTTAGGGTTACAATTTATTCATATTTTAAAATAAAACAGTAAGACAGTTACAGTTACACCTTATTGAGCCTCAATTTAATCAATATTGGTTTTTAAATCAATGATCTAGAATTCCAAGCACCACAGAAGAACTCGTCTTCACAGTTATGTGTAAAGGCTGAGGCCATATTTTGAAGTAAAAACATGTAGCTCAACATTTAGCTCATGATTTCATATGAAGGTTTTAGTTGAAGTCACCTACTTTATTCTTAGGTAGTTGTGAAAAAATGGAATACAAAAGGATTAAATTACATATTTTTTGATGGATATTCCATTATTTACAACATGTGGTTTGATGCTCTGTAGCAACCATTTTGTAAAATGCATTTTTCATTAAAAATGTCTCTGGTGTTACCTTTCTTATGTGTAACACCAATGAGGATTGGTAACACCAGTGACACCTACGGATAGATAGAAAAGTGGACGTTTCTGTAGAATGACCCTTCAATATTATTTCCAATCCTTGTCAATTTTCAAAGAACAAAACAAAACAAAAAAAGGAACAGAAGGTCATGTAGGATATGTAGCAATGGTATTAAAATTCTACACTCAGAAGTCAGTTAAACAGCTTTTAGTTCTTTATATGTCTCTTTTTATTAGTGTAAATGTTGGCATATACTTTATGTACTTTAGGTGAACTCAAGTTTAGATCTGATTTATCATCCAAAAAAATTCAATAATAATATTGTTTTATCTTTACAATATAATTAACAGTTACAGTTGCCTTTTGAACTATAAAGCTATTCAGTACTGTGCAAAAATCAGATAACATACTTTATTTAATTTCCCATCAGAAAATACATTAAATACATTAAATACAACAGAATGTGAACTGAGTGAGTTTCCATCATTTGGGTTGAGGCAAATATATGTAAATAAAATAAATCAGAAAACACATTTATTGAAACGTCGTAGGTCTCTTACAAAAGCAACAAAAGCTATAACTTCTGACTGGAGCGATAACACCTTTAGAGGGCAGTGGTGAGTAATGTTTGTTTATTTGAGCTCAGAGCTCAGTAACACTGAGATTAATAACTGATCATCACATTGATTTATCAGTCCACTCAGGCTTTAGCAGAGCTCAGTAACACTGAGATTAATAACTGATTATCACTTTGATTTATCAGTCTACTCAGGCTTTATCAGAGCTCAGTAACACTGAGATTAATAACTGATCATCACATTGATTTATCAGTCTACTCAGGCTTTAGCAGAGCTCAGTAACGCTGAGATTAATAACTGATCATCACATTGATTTATTTACATTTACATTTACATTTACATCATTTAGCAGACGCTCTTATCCAGAGCGACTTACAAAAAGTGCTTTGTCTATCCAGAGAAAGAATCTTTGCTAGCTACCAATAGGTTAGAGAGAAAGACAGTCCTAAACTTAGATACTGCTAGAATCAGAAGGTCATTGACACCTAGTGAAAAGGGACAGAGTTAAACACAGAACAGTGCAATACAATACAATACAATACATAAGTGCTGTACAATACATTACAATCAATACTTAATTTAGTGCTCATTTAAGTGCTGAATAAACAGGTGTGTCTTCAGTCTGCGTTTGAAGACAGCGAGAGACTCTGCTGTACGGACGGCCAGTGGGAGTTCGTTCCACCACCTGGGTGCCAGCACAGAGAACAGTCTAGATGTTTGCCTTCCGCGCGCTTTGAAGGATGGCGGGTCAAGCCGAGCTGTACTCGAAGCTCGAAGGGCTCGTGGTACAGTTCGAGATTTGACCATTGCCATCAAGTAGGGAGGGGCTGGTCCATTTTTGGCTTTGTAGGCAAGCATAAGGGTTTTAAATCTGATGCGTGCAGCTACAGGAAGCCAGTGAAGAGAGCGCAGCAGTGGGGTGATTTATCAGTCTACTCAGGCTTTAGCAGAGCTCAGTAATGCTGAGATTAATAACTGATCATCACATTGATTTATCAGTCTACTCAGACTTCAGCAGAGCTCAGTAACGCTGAGATTAATAACTGATCATCACATTGATTTATCAGTCTACTCAGACTTCAGCAGAGCTCAGTAACGCTGAGATTTATAACTGATCATCACATTGATTTATCAGTCTACTCAGGCTTTAGCAGAGCTCAGTAATGCTGAGATTAATAACTGATCATCACATTGATTTATCAGTCTACTCAGACTTCAGCAGAGCTCAGTAACGCTGAGATTTATAACTGATCATCACATTGATTTATCAGTCTACTCAGGCTTTAGCAGAGCTCAGTAACACTGAGATTAATAACTGATCATCACATTGATTTATCAGTCTACTCAGGCTTTAGTAGAGCTCAGTAACACTAAGATTAATAACTGATCATCACATTGATTTATCAGTCTACTCAGGCTTAGAGCTCAGCAAAAGCAACAGTTAAACTCAGCAAATTAATATAAATTATGCTCTAAAACCTGCAGAAACCTGTTGTATTAAAGTGTATTCTCTGTAGAGGATGCGAACTTATTAACTTATTTCCTCTTAGAAAATCAACCAACTATGTAATTTGTATATGACTGTATTGTATTTATTGTTTTACTATTTCTTCCAATTAGGCTTGTTAGGCAAGTATCCCATGATCAAAAAATATGACACAATAAAGTAGCCATGGCATGTCAGTATTTTTTATATGTGAATGTTTTAAATAAAACTTTCTTTAAAAATATCCCTTTTTCAGAAATATTGGGTCAAGAATTCCAGGTGTGGCTAAAATATATAACTTACAGAAATTAATGTTTACTGTACATTTGACTTAGAAGTAAAAATATTATGTAAAAACTAAATTATTTAAAATGATTAAAATTACATTTCAAAGATAAAAGATTTGACATTCTAGTTTTACATGAACTAATCATTGTGGGAATTTATTAGCAAGAAACCAGTTGGTTTAAAGTGAAATATTATTGTTAGTGTATTTATATCCCGTCAGTATTTCAGTTCAGTCATTATGTAATTACATAAAAACAATGCTTAAGATGCAATTTAGTACCTGCTGGGTCAAACTTTGAAAATTCATAACTAAAAAACTATTTGGAGCACAGATTTGAAATTTTGCATGATTGCAAGAAATAAATAGAGGCTTTTGCATGAATTTTCATGTGACCTCGGTAATTTGCCATGGACTGATGACCCATAGACACTATTTATTGTTTCCATTTTTACTGGATTTGAAAACTTAATTGATGAGTCACCACAAACTGGTCATGTTTGAGCTTTTGCTTTATTGCTCTGGTTGTGTGGCTGAAGCCCATGTTTCATACTGAGTTCTAAAGCTCAGTGATTCTGCGGAAGGAGCCCAGCACTGGGTTGGGCGCGGCCCAGTCGCTGTACTTCCTGTAGTCCCCGCGCTCCACAAAGTACTGGCGGCCTCTGTAGCCAGGCAGCTCATAGAAGACCCAGGCGCCTTGCAGCACCACACAGGAGTAGACCTCCCGTAACTTGAAGGCCTCGTGGACGGAAGGGCAATCCTCAGTGCACTCGACCGTCTGACCTCCGAAATCTGGCTTTTCGTACAGCCTCAGCCTCCATGTGTTACCATAGACCTGCAGGCAAAACCACAGCAAGCGTTAATTTCCTATTATCTTTGTTGATAACAATTCATAGCTAAAATTGACCCTAATGAAATAAAATTTTATTAAAATTTTGAGTATTCCTCTTTAAAACACTCTCTTGGCATCTTAGGATGGTCAGTTTGGTACATATGGTTGAACCTTTATGGTTTCCAGGTATTGTCCACTAGTTTTTAAAGCAGACACAGTGAAAGCCTGAGGCTCCACTATGCTCACTTGTCTAACATTGCAAATATTTCAGCCAGATATTGTTATAGTTCACTAGCTATATCATGTAGTGATAGAAAGTATGCAAAGAAATGAAAAACGTTCTAAAATTTTTCAAAATTTCTGTGTAATTGAATGGGCAAGATTTAAACAAAGTCAAAAAGGCAGAGTGGTTTGATGTTAAATGCTCCATTCTAGACACTTACCGAGTCAGAATTGTTTACAGTGGTAGTGATAGGATGTTCAAAGAGTTAATGCCTCTAAAAGCTCCCTCATAGAAAGTTATTACATGAAATTGTGAAGAAACATTGGTTTACAATAGTTTTGAGAAGGTTTTGGCCTAATATATATATTTTTAAAAGCCATTCGTAGCAGATTATAAGGTTAAGTAATTCTCAAAGATTTTTTTTTTTCAGATTTACTTCTATTTCACCATTATTAACATGTATATTTGTTTTGGATAGTAAACCAGTAAGTAAGATATCTGTAAAGATATCTGAGCTGGTAAGTTTCTCTACAGTGAACCATTTCACATCAAACCACCCTGAAGGACTTTGTTTACATTTGAACATTTAAATCATGCAGAAATAAAGAAAAAACAGTGGAATTCTCCTTTAAATGACCAGAGCACACTTGCAGGAGACAATGTGAATAAATATCTTCCCTCTTTCTGCACATTTTCAGCTTTTAATGTCCTACAGGTTCTCTTTGGGAAAGAAACAGTCATGCATTAAAGCATATGCGGCACTGACATACAGTGAATGAATGAATCGATGAATCAAAGAACAAATGAATGAGCTATTTTGTGCATCTCTCACGTTTTTGATGGAGCGGCAGGATCCGATGCTGTCGCTGAAGCCCATCCACTGCTGGTGGTCAGCGTAGTCCCCCGGACTCAGGATGTACTGATAGCCCTTGTAGTTGGGTTTCTCATACAGCACCCAGCAGCCGCTCTCCACCCGGATAGAGTTACAGCGCCTGAAGAAAGAGAGCAGGTCTGCGCAGTCGCCGCTGGTCTCATAGCAACGGCCTTGGAAGTTTTTCTCCTCGAAGAATGTGATCTGGCAGCAAGGAGAGAGAGAAGTCAAAGGAAGCGCTCACCAATTTTTTTTTCTAAATTTCTCCACCCCATTCATACCCTCAAGTGCACACAGCTGGTGTGAAGTTACATTAACAGTTCATTGTAATACTTACCTCAAGATTTTGTAATATGCCAACTCATTTGCTTTATAACAGAAGACAACAGGGCCAAGATGTAGGCTGTTACTAACCGGGTTACATTCTGTTACATTAACAGTCTACACCTCTGTATAAATGGCTCCAGGAAATTTTTGTCACATTTATCCCGAAACATCATTTTGTAAAAATGACAAACCTTACATTTTAACCGAATACAGAAATGAACCTTTTCAACAAACACCTTCATCCTGTCTTCAGGCTGGTCTTTAAGCTGTGCAAACTAACTAACACCAACAAGCTTGTTATCCCCTAGAAGCTGCAGTCAAGCTGGACTTCACTGACCTTGCCCATGCTTGCTCCGCTGAAGCTCCTTGTCCGCCCTGCAGCGGGGGGAAAGTATTTATCGTAAACAAAATGTGCCGATGACGGGAAACCGATTGTTACCTAAATTACTCCGATTTGCATCTCAGCAAAGTGATTTGTTCAAGTTTGATTTCTCTTTGTTCCAATTTAATGACTCTGAATTAAACAATTGGCAGTGCACTGTAGTGAATAGTATAAAGGCCTAAGGCCACTCATCCATACTGCTCCTGTAAACTGTACCAACAGTCACACCACGGCTCAAGTTTTCATCCTGAAGACTGTCTTCTAATCTGAGGCTCTATTCACGGCCTTCAGAGGATCAGTGTAAGTACTGTCTTATTTTGACTAGCTCCACCTTAGAAACAGTTTTAAGATTCCACCATCCTTGTCCCTGAATTAGGATTAGAATTAAGGTCTAAATATATACATGAACATACAAATATACATAAGTATATACAAAAACATGTATGTACCATTACAAAAAGAGAAAGGAAAACAAATGTGAGCTGAGTCACGGTGCCCTAACCCAAACATCACCCCCTCTGCTAACTTCCCACCTCAGACTGTTGACATTCCACCACAACATATGGTTGTCATGGTGATGAGCATATTGTTCCCACCAATGCCTGTCGGAAATGACATTGAGGGTCATAATACATTCTACATTCAGGGCGTAATGCATTCAAACTTCCAATTACGTTTACTACTTAACTCTTGGAAACTGGCGTCATATGTTTGCATCCTTATCTGGGTTGTTGTGGAGCCAAACTTTCCTAAATTTCTTTTAAAACATTGTAAGATTTCTAATATTTTTTTAATTCTGTGTATTTCTGTATGCCTATATAATTTTATGGAATTACTGTATATCACAGTATAACAATTATCTGATAACCCATCTTAGGACAGGCTAAATAAACCACTAAACAAACAAATAAAAAAACCCTTCCAGAGTGTCTAAAAAGAATTAATAAGCAGGTTACGCTAGTTCAGGGTAGCGAGTGTGGGGCGGGCAGTAATGGCTTGCATCCAGAACACTGTGCTTCTGCAGCTGGAAGCCTGTGATAGAGACAGAAATTAACAGAAAAGACCGACCTGCTTATTCATCAGGTTTGGCTATTTGAATAACAAAAAGCCATTGCAAAGCCTATCAAGTATAAAAGCTACGGTGGACCACGGCCTGCTGGACATCATCCCAGCGCCGAATCAACCATGGGCAAGGTAAGTCAGCATGTTTATAGACGAGTGAGCTCCATCTCATGCTGGACAGCCACAGGACGATTTGTACGACATTTGTGACTTTTCTTAGTAAAGCTGGTAAAATTCAATTAGGAAAGCTGACCAGTGTTCCATAGAGCAGGGGTCATCACTTCTGGTACTGGAGGGCTGGAGTCCAGGACATTTTGGTGATTTTACTGCTCAAACACATCTGATTCAACTCAACAACTGCCAGGCATAGTTGGTGTGGTAGAGCTGGGAAATCTCCAAACTGGACTCCGGCCCTCCTGGACCAGAAATGATGACCGCCAATATAGAGAACATATATGTCTGTTGTATCAAATCCATGCAATTTTTTTACATTACGTTTATGAAAAATGCCTCCTGCCCTTTACATCATGTGGGCAGAAAACATAAGATTTCTTTCTCTTGGTCCATTTTGGAGATATAAAGCTGCCAAATGAAATCCTGTAAAACATAAGCTAAATATTATTTGATCTCTCAGATCATCTTCTATGAGGACAGGAACTTCCAGGGTCGCTCCTATGAGACCAGCGGCGACTGCGCTGAGCTGACCTCCTACCTGAGCCGCTGCAGCTCCTGCAGGGTGGAGAGCGGCTGCTTCATGGTCTACGACCGCTCCAACTTCATGGGGAACCAGTACTTCCTGAGAAGGGGCGAGTATTCTGACTTCCAGCGCATGGGCATGATCGATTCCATCAGATCCTGCCGTATGATCCCTCAGGTAGACCACTACATTCAATTGGTCATTTCATTTTTTCATTAAACCAATAGTAGTAGTTGCAAAAGATGGAGTGGCAGATGCCAACTTACATTACACGTCTGTTTTTGTAACCTCTCTCAAACTGAGCAGCACCATGGCCCCTTCAGAATGAAGATCTACGAGAGGGAGAACTTCGGAGGCCAGATGCACGAGGTCATGGATGACTGTGACTCCTTCATGGACCGCTACCGCATGTCCGACATCCAGTCCTGCCACGTGATGGACGGCCACTGGCTGATGTACGAGCAGCCCCACTACAGAGGCAGGATGGTGTACCTGAGGCCTGGAGAGTACAGGAGCTACAGAGACATGGGAATGAGCTCCATGATGAGGTTCGGCTCCATGAGGCGCATCATGGACTCCTGCAATTAATTGTCTGAGCAAAATGTAGGCCAATAAAAGTTCAAATTTCATTACTTTTGTGTGTTTTTCCTTTTCATCCACCAGAAAAACAAGAGCCAACAACAAGCCTCAAACCAGCTGAGAACTGTTCGAAGTAGAATCCGAAATTAGCATAGCATTTACTGGTTTCTTTGTTCAGTAAGGAACAGACTTCCCTACTGAAAAATACAGCTTAGATCCACATGAATTCCATGCAGGTCTAAGCTGGTTTAGGCTCGTTTACGCTGGTCTGGTGCTGGTTTAGCTGGTCACCCTGCATAGACTTGCTGGTTGACCAGCATACCAGCATCCAAAACACAACATATTGCTGTTGTCGGAAAAAAACTTTGTATCTCCATTTTTGTCATTTTTTGCCTTTTACATTGTGTATAAATTTCATGATGAATGGACCAAAAGAAATGGCCCAAAATGACTTACATTAAAAGTACATCCTTTAAGCCACTTATCCTTCTGGGTCATGGGGGGAGCTGGAGCCTAACCCAGCCGTCACTGAATGGGAGGTAGGATACACCCTGGACAGGTCACCAGTCCATCGCAGGGCAGACAGACAGACATATACATTCACACCTAGGGGCAACTTAGCGTGTCCAATTTGTCTCACTGCATGTCTTTGGACTGCGGGAGGAAACCAGAGCACCCGGAGGAAACCCACGCAGACACGGGGAGAACATGCAAACTCCACACAGAAAGGACCCTGGTCACCCAGCCAGGGAATCAAACCCAGACCTACTTGCTGTGAGGCTACCCACTGCGCCACCGTGCCGCCCACATTAAAAGTAAAGTAGGTTTTTTCCTTTTCCTGTAAAGTTACCATTTTGGAGATACAAGTTTTTTTCCCGACAACAGCGATATTCTGGTTTCGCTGGTGATCAGCTATGCTGGTCTATGCTGTTTCTTCTAGCAGGGTTGCAAGGAAACTGCTTGTCAGAAAGCTTTCTGTTAATTTTTAGGGAAAAGAGACAGTTGTTAGCTATTTTACTCAAAATGCTGACATGGCTAACAGTGGTTAGAGGTCATGTACAGGGTCACATATAACTAGCTGTTTTTCATCCATAACAATTTGATTTTTCTTTTTAGTTGATAAGTTTACCGGGAACCATCTGTAGCTTCTAGGCCTACGACCCACCCTGCACCTAATGACTAATAATTTACATAAACTACCTCAACAACTTTCCCAACAGATGTCTGAACTGCCACATCTTTACAAAGCATAATATGAGTTTCTTTCACAAATGTAACACCAAAATAACTGAGTCCTACACATTAGCAACATTAGCAATGATTAGCTGTATTATGTCTCATACATAAAGGAAACTGACTTTGATGAACAGTTAATATTCTATCAATTCTGTTCAGCAGCCAATATAGCAAATTTGTGTGAATGTGAATGAATTTTATGGGTTACTGTATGAAACTGTATGTAACTGCCATTTGACATTAGGTGGTTGTTATGGTGTCCAAGGTGCTTGATAAAGTGTTGCTATGTGGTTGCTATGCTATTAAACACACTGTTACCTTAAATTCATTGATACCTTAAATTTACTGATACCTTAAATACATTGCCACCTTAAATTTACTGATACATTAAATTCACAGCCACCTTTAATTTACTGATACCTTAAATCCACTGCCACCTTAAATTTACTGATACTTGCACTTCAAGAGTGAGGCGTTTACCTTGTGATTTATTATATTCTTAGTGTTTGCCATTGTTGCCTTACAATTGGCAAATCACAGTAGAGCTTTCATTTGTAATAATCTTATTATGCCATTATTATAGTGCGCATAATTACTTGAGAATGAATTTTGGAGCTACATAAATTCGTTTTTTTTAGCTTTCGTCTTTCATTCACTATCAATAACAACTGATAATATTGTGCTACTTAGGAGCTCTCAGTCTTTCAGTGGTGATTCAGGGACAGAATGTGGTTGAAGGCATCACTGCAAACTCTACAGAATCCATATTTGCACGTCACCAGTGTCAGAAGTAATAATGGAACGCCAGGATATTTGAACATTTTATTTCATTGAAGTTAATCACACTAACAGGTCTCCATGATGCGCCTCATGGAGCTGAATCTCATCATGGAGCTCATTCCCATGTCTCTGTAGCTCCTGTACTCTCCAGGCCTCAGGTACACCATCCTGCCTCTGTAGTGAGGCTGCTCATACATCAGCCAGTGGCCGTCCATCACGTGGCAGGACTGGATATCGGACATGTGGTAGCGGTCCACGAAGGAGTCACAGTCATCCATGACCTCGTGCATCTGGCCTCCGAAGTTCTCCTTCTCATAGATCCTCATTCTGAAGGGGCCACGATGCTGTTTCAGACAGAAATACAGAAAAAACTCAGGATTACTGATGTTATTCGGGTAAATAATTACTAAAAAAACACAAAACCTCTCTCTCAGCGCAGATATTTCAAGCTTTTTATAATCTCTTAATGAACTAACCCCAAACCTTAAAAAATTGGTAGTAATTCATTAAAATGCTACATGTGTGGTCATTAGTGGACATTAGTACATCAAATGCCACATAACAATGACTGAACTCAAAAAGCTGATTCATAGAGGCTCATTCACAAGATGTATGTCTTATTGTAAACAGAAATTAGAAATTAGAAATTTTTTGGTCATTTTTAGCCTCTAGAAGCTTTTAGATATACAGTACTAAACCTCTTACCATTGGGATCATTCTGCAAGAGCGGATGCAGTCGCTCACACTCATTCCCATCAGACGCTGGTTGTCGGGGTATTCTCCCCTCCGTGCCAGCATCTGATGGCCCATGAAGTTGGGCCTCTCGTAGACCATGAAGCAGCCGCTCTCCACCCTGCAGGAGTTGCAGCGGCTCAGGTAGGAGGTCAGCTCAGCGCAGTCGCTGCTGGTCTCATAGGAGCGACCCTGGAAGTTTTTGTCCTCGTAGAAGATGATCTGGAAAGGAAACAAGATCAGATATATTCAGAGATACATCCATCAGTGTAGCTGTATATTTACACTGGTTCTTAAATATCATCACTGTCCAAAAAATAAATCTCCATTTTTGTCCAATTTCTTTTTTCTCCATCATTTGAACTTATATACCTTATATTCTGTGAAAGTTTCATGATGATAGAACTAATAGAAATGCTCCTAAATGACTTGGAATTAAATCTATTTACATAAACTGACATTAAAAGTTCAAAGATTTTGCCTTCTTTTGTCATTTTGGAATTTTTTTTTCTGTTATTATAATAAATGAGACCTCAATTTATCTCAGTGAAGAGAAGTGGATATCGTTGATATCATATCAGACCAAATGAGAAAGAAGAAAGACCAATGAAAATGCCTCTTACCCTGCCCATGGTCACAGCAATGTATTGTAATCCCTAATGTCGAATTGTTTTACTGTACGTGCCGCTTGTGCTTTTATAGCTCAATGGTTGATCACACTGGTCACTGAATGGAATCCCTGAGTCGACACTCTATATTGTAAAAGTCAAAGGACGTATATGGAAATTATGTGACAATGTAAGCATTTTAGACTCCGGTGCCCATTCAGAGGCGGCACTGCAGCGTGCACAATAAAACATTAGCACTGAAACTACAAAGCTAATCTAAATTGAATGCAGTGCTGTAAGGGCTGATTTAGTGTACATGCTGATTTAACACCAGAGATTCAACCATAAATAGACAAAGTTTTTGCCATCAAAATCAGGATCAAGCATTAACAGCTCTACAGAAAAAACCAGCACAGACCAGCACAAAGTCCATGCTGGTCTAAACTGGTCTCTGCTGGTTTATGCTGGTCTTGTGCTGGTTTATCTGACCACTCTGACACCTCCTTATAGAGTTTCTTCAGCTGTGAGCTGTGTTGCTGGGTTGATACACCCAAATTAGCAGTGAAAAAAAAACCTTATCTTTCTTACTTGTATCGTGTGTATGAGCAGCTCCCTTCAGCTTAAAAGCCCTGGCACAAATACAAAAAGAGGCAACAAATGGGAGGATCCACACATGAATATACATGGCTGCTCACATGCTAATACTTTAGAATGCAGAATTGTGGGAACTCTTGTCATCACACAGCTGCAAATACATCTACAAGTGATGATGGATAAGACAAGGCCATTTCCACAAGGCAGAATGCATAGTTTCTGCACTAAGAATTGCTCCAAAAATGTGAATGTGGCTATTTGTTTTCATCAAATAGATATACATTATAAAAGAAAGTAGACATACATATACATGTTCTACGAGACAGGTCATGGTATATATCTTATTAAATGGCCAGGGCCCACCGGCAGGCCCAAAGTTTTGTTACACCTTTCTATGACCTAAGAATAGCTCAGCCAGTTTGCACTGAAGTCCCTGCAGTCACTGAATATTAAACCTTAGTATGTAATAAGCCTGGGATTTTAAGAGGTTAAGCAGTAAGCCGGTTGGCTCTTTTTATTGAAGGGCAGGACTTTCCCCATAAACAGTTGTCACACTGAGCGTTACAATCTTTCTCATTCGTCAACGAGTGAACTGTCTCCACCCATGCAATGTCACTGGTATATAATGTCAGTACAACCTAGTTAGTATTAGCAGTGTTTATTCTAGCATCTTACTTACTTGCCTTATTACCCCACTTATCAGACTGTTACCTCACTGATCCCTTTCTCTGCCACTATACACCCTTTTAACTGCTGCTGCACTCAGCACTTTAACTTTAGACCCATACTTTGCACAATGTAAGGTTTACAGGTATGACTGTGTGTGTTTGAGAGAGTGATGGTAGGAATGCATGTTTTATTTTCACATCACATCATCTAAACCGCTTATCTTCCTGGGTCACGGTGGGGTGCTGGAGCCCCACTACATGTAAATGTCTGTCTGGTACTGTGCACTGTGAGCTCCTGTAACCAAAACCAAATTCCTTGTATGCATAAGCATACCTGGCCAATAAAGCTTGATTCTGATTCTGATTCTAAGAGGTTAAACTAACTGGCAAGCAAGATTGCAATGTTTATTTCCCTATGTACGTTTGCTATGCTTCTACAATAACAATGGACTAAAATGAACAAAAAGACAAATAAATTGTTAATCGTGGCTATTTGTATAACAATTCATTGTCAGCTAAGATTCTTTGAATGTGGCGGGCCTAGTTAAGTTTTACACATGCTTTATATGAGCTAACATACGTAAGGACAGTCTTTTAAATGCCATAGACAATGAGGCTGAGGCCATCCTGTAACAACAAACAGCATTACATCAGGGTCATTTCGACTGACTACACTGTGAAATTCGCCAATAGCATTAACATCAGTGGAATATACAGATAAGTTGTTTACACTCTGTGCACATTTGCAACAGTTTGGAGTGTGAAAAGGACCAAAAATCAAATGACCACAATGATGATGTGCAGTAATCAAGTCTGCAATACTGGACTAAAAGGTTAGGAGAGTTAGAGATGCCAAGATGCAGCTGTGTACCAATTTGTGAATAATGATGTGGTCATTGGTAAGACGGTGTCAGTTAGATCATATGGCCATTCAATACAGCCTTACTAGCCCATTGATATACGGTCGTGTGCAAATGTTTGGGCGCCCCAGTCGAAGTATGTTTTGTTGATTAGAGATAAGAACAAATGCTCTAACTTTAATGCACAATCACTATTTACTTGCTCAGTTTAACATACTGGGGGTAAAAATGACAAAAACATTTTCAGAAAGTTGCATATTTGACTTTAGCCCTGTAGAGAATGTGTAACTTAAAAATGTTCACTTAGAAAATCAACAAAACATGTCATTTAACCAGTTTTCAAACATTTGTATATGACTCCACTATACGTCTCCTTCAGTTCCTGTAGTGGAGATACTACTTTCCACTATTTGCCACATTTCTGTCATGCATCACTCCGTATAATTGAGCACCAGCCTGAAATGCAACTAAGACACTTCTTTACAATTTATTTTACTCACTATTTATTTTGCTTGCTCCATCTTTCCATGCTTCTCAATCATGTTATACATTTATGAGGACTTGGAGAAGCAGCTGGAGGGTTTGTTTTATGTGTATGTGTGTATCTGGAAAGCTGATACTGTAGAAAGTAGCACTGCTACTGACTGGACTATGTAATCAAAAAAATCACTTATCTTGGTTTTATCTCCAGTTTTATTTGCACACTGTGTACAGTTTGTGTGTGTTATGTTGGTGTACAGTACCAGCAGGTCTGATGCTCCATTGCTGACTAAGGAACTTATACAATTGGACCATTGATGCTTTGATAGCTGCATTAAGCATAAAAGGGGGCAGAGCAGAGAGGTGCATGAATGAAATAACAACAGCCATGAGTGGAAAGGTAACACAAAGCAAATGTAAAACAGATTATTTGTTAATTTCTATTGGCATGACAAGGACATGAAAGTGTGCTGAAGAGAAATCACATCTTTATCACCCAGTATTTGTTAAATTCCTTGACACTCCTTGCATTAGCTCTGAAACACAGCACAGCTTAACAAAATACAGGGAAAATATCAGGAAGACCCACAATGTACTGTGCAGTCTGACTGAACGTGACCTTCTGTTTCATCAGATCATCTTCTACGAGGATCGTGACTTCCAGGGTCGCTCATATGAATGCAACAGCGACTGCTCGGAACTCAGCTCCCACCTGAGCCGCTGCCACTCTGTCCGTGTGGAGAACGGTGTCTTTGTGGTATACGACCATCCCAACTTCGTCGGACGCCAGTACCTTCTGAGGAAGGGGGAGTATCCTGAGTACCAGCGCTTGATGGGCTTTAGTGACTGTATCAGATCCTGTAGAATGATCCCTTTGGTAAGTTCATTTATCCTCTTAAACTTCACAGACATCCACATCCAGCTTTATTATTTAGTAAATCTCTTGAAAATAAAGGTGTCCAGAAGGTTTCTTTGAAGTGATGCCTTTGACAAACCACTTTTGGTTCCTCAACCTTTATACTTATTTGACTCATTTCACTCAATTGAAAGTTTGTTTGGGAAACCAGATGTGTTCCAAAAAAGGTCCATCACTCCCTTTAGGCATCATTATGTTTAAGAGTGTGCATGAAAAAAGTATAGAGCAAAGTTTTAAAACATTAAATTATAGCAATGAGCAGGTTTGAAGGTTGGACCCATTGGCACATCTATGAATATTAAAGTGTTTAACAGATACAGTGCGAGTCTTGGGTTGATAAATTGGTATTATTGAATTGATTATAACAAGATAGATTTAATAAGTGCTGATATTATGCAAATTTTCATTCTTTTGTTCTCTTTCATGTACCATGTGAGTTTTTAATTGCTTCTCCATTTCATTAGTTCCTTTGTACAATCATTCTGAACTATGGTTAGTCCGAAAGTGTAAACAGGAGAAAAGATTGCACTTATTTATAAGCTATAGGCTGTACAAACAGAACAACGCCGGCTAACTAAAGCAGTACTATGTATTTTTTTGTTCAGATTGAAAAAAGTAGCATTACTGAATCAGGAGAAAAAACACACTCAAATACGGTGGATGTGCGCTGCTGTGAGTCGCCCTATAAAGCCTGAAATAATAATTGAATAATAAGTCAAAGGCATCGAGGCAGGTTTCATGGTAGTTTTTCAGACCACATCACATCTTTTATGTATTAATGTCTCAAAAAGAAGGCCGGGCTTAATGTTTAGGTCTAAAATGTAAAAATCAGCATAAAACTGATGAAGATATGATGACAACAGTAGATAGTTCACTTCCATTCTTTCACATCCTTCACCAAGTTTTGACTGAGTTCTCTTTGAATTCTTTTCATCGTGCTTGCAAGGATCAGATTCAGCCGCTCGGCTCTCAAATAAAGCGGTATGTTGATTTTATCAGTCAGTTGATTTGATGGACGAGATGCAACGTCCTTAACCTCCAGTGGTTCTTTGTTTTTATTTGATTGGAGGCCAAAGTAATGCCCAACTGGCATGTTATAAATGATTAATTAATATTAGAAGGTAGCTTGTTTGGTAATTATAAAGTAACTTTACTAGAAAAATACGAACTATAGGGTAAAGCTCTGAAATGCTCACATGTAGCACTTTATCACTGAATTTGGATCATGATTATATCATTTATTCAATAATTTTCCAGACAATAATCGTTTGCCTTAATTTAAAATGCCTACATTTTTCATGTATTTTATTTTTCCCTATGGTCCACTTATGCTCCAAAATGTATCAAGAACAGCTATAATTCATAATTACATTATCATTTTTCAACCTCTCTTAGTTCCTTTAGAATGAAACAGTCTGTTTTAGTTTCTGTGCCTTTGTGATTCATATATGTGCAGTTGTATGCAAAAGTTTTAACACTCCCAGTCAAGAGACATGCTGTATTTTCAAAGGAAAAAAGTCAACACCTCCTCTGCAAGGAACAATGCAGATGTTAGTGCATGATTTCTACTTCTTTGCTACATTTAACATATTGGAAAAAATATATATAAAATGTGCCATAATTTTTGCAAGGGCCACATTTTATGATTTTCACCAAGGAAAAAGGCAAAACATTTCATTAAATGGCACGCCCAAACTTTTGCATACAACTATAAATATGTATATATAAATGTTCTGATTGGCTGCCCAGTATTGTACCTTTTCTGTCAAAAAGCAATCAGTGAATGGGCGAATCTAAACTGCTGGAGGCTGAATATATGTAAATATGTTAGTTTTTGTGACATCACAAAACACTAAATTCAAAACTAGCCTGGAAAGTGCTGGACTGGAGAGTGAAGAGTACATTTTGAAACAATGCTCACATACTACATCAAGCAAAAAAAAAAGTGAGAAATTTTGGTTTTTCCATGATATGGGCCTTTTAAATGATTATCTATGCTTTTTCAGTGCACAGTAAAATCCACAGTAAAGCTAGAATTGGGGGTCCAGTGAATGATTAGGGAACCATTTGAACCATTAGCCTCATGCCTAATGTATTTAATCTCTTTGCAGTACAAGGGCTCCTACAGAATGAAGATCTACGAGAGAGAGAACTTCGGAGGTCAGATGTATGAGGTGATGGAGGACTGTGAATCTATCCAGGACAAATACAGCATGACCAACATGCTGTCCTGTCACGTGACGGATGGCCACTGGCTGATGTACGAGCAGCCACGTTACAAAGGCAGGATGGTGTACCTGAGGCCTGGAGAGTACAGGAGCTTCAGAGACATGGTTCTCGACAGCTTACAGTTCACCTCCATCAAGCGAATCATGGATTATTAAAGACTGTGAAATAGAGTTGTTAAAATAAAAACAGTTATTTCATAACATTTCATTTTGCCAGCCTTAGTAGATGTAGAGAAATGATAAAAGGCTAATTGAGGAGATACTGCATTTTAAATAACCCACTTCAATATGCTTGATTGAAAAGCGTTCTTCATGTGTCCTACATCTGATAATAGCATGTTTTTTTCATCAAGCCTGTATCGAACTGCTTATCACTGGTAATAATACA